GATTTCGGCCTTGTTTGTGGCTGAAAAACATAATCAGTTATTGATGAAAAATCATAGTGCTAGGCCTGTTGGAACTCAAGTTGTGCCTGAAGCACATGCGACTACTCACAGGCATAATAATATTAGCGGAAGAGGTCGAGGATACCATAACCAGCCACATCGTGGTGGACGCGGTCGTGGCCGTGTTTGGACTCAAGATGGAGGAAGAGGTCATAGTGATAACATCCCGGGAGGTCGTAATGAAAACTTGAACATTGAGGCAGATCATTCAAATCGACACGATTCACATCCACAGCCTAAAGATCAAAAGCAGGTTTGTTTTAGATGTGGATGCGATGGTCATTGGTCCCGCACATGTCGTACTCCTCGGCATCTAGTCGAGGCCTATCAAAGAATGCTCAAAGATAAAAAAGGAAAGACCCCTGAAGGTGAATCACATCATGTCAGTTTGCCTGAAGCAGATTTAGTCATCAATGATGATGATGATGATTTACTGAAGTTCGAGTTCGAGGATTATGGTGATAATGTGTGATATGCATTATGTTTTATCACTGAATATTTTATTTCAAGTTGGACTTGATTTGTAAGTTTCATATGTTGTGTTTTCGTTTGTATGTTTTCCTTTGTATGGTTTCATGTGTATGTTTCCATATGTTGTGTTTTAATTTGGGATTGTATCATTATTATGTTTGCTTATAATATTTTATTTTTCTTTTTAGTGTGCCATTAATATTCAATAGTTTGCAAGTCATGGAGAAAGAGAGTATTTTATGCCTGGTCGATAGTGCTACTACGCACGCTATTTTGAAAGATTGGAAATTTTTTCAAACTTTAAATGAAAAGAAAGGGAGTGTTACTACAATTGCTCAAAATAAAATCTTGATAGTAGGCTCCGGCAGAGCTTTACTTACTCTTCCTAAGGGTACCGAATTAATAATTAACGATGCGCTTTTGTACCCTGAATCACAAAGAACACTTTTTAGTCTTAAAGATATCCGATCAAATGGTTTTCATCTTGAAACTAAGATTGAAAATAATATAGAATACCTTCTTATGACTCATTCACAAGGAAGTCAAAAGAAAATTGTAGAAGAACTTCCCTCTTTCTCCTCAGGCTTATATCATACTTACATTCGACCTTCTATTAATCATGTTGCATTGAATTTAAAATTTAAAGACCCGAATTCATTTAAATTATGGCATGAGAGATTGGGTCATCCTGGGCTTAGTATGATGCGTCGGATTATTTCTAACTCTATTGGGCATAACGTATCAAACAGCAGCCTCCCTTCTTTTAATGAATTTATTTGTGATGCTTGTGCAAAGGGAAAATTGATATTAAGACCTTCACGTACTAAAGTTGGAATTGAATCTCCTATGTTTCTTCATAGAATTCATGGTGATATATGTGGACCAATTCATCCAACATCATGACCTTTTCGATATTTTATGGTCCTGATAGATGCTTCCACTCGATGGACATATGTGTGTTTATTATCCACAAGAAATCAGGCTTTTCCAAAACTACTTGCTAAAATTATTGAATTGAGAGCTCAATTTCCTGATTATCAAATTAAAACTATTAGAATGGATAATGCCGGCGAATTTACATCGAAAGTTTTTGATGATTATTGTATGTCATTAGGCATCAAAGTGGAGCATCCGGTACCTTATGTTCACACATAAAATGGTTTAGCCGAATCATTAATTAAGCGCATCAAATTAATTGCTAGACCATTACTACAAAATTCCAACTTACCAATTTCATGTTGGGGACATGCAATTTTACATGCTGCTGCCCTAATTCAAATCCGACCTACTGCATATCATGATTACTCCCCTATACAAATAGTGCGTGGTAAAGAACCTAATATTTCCCATCTGCGAGTATTTGGTTGTGCAGTATATGTTCCTATATCACCACCACAGCGTACATCTATGGGCCCTCATCGAAAGCTAGGTATATATATTGGATATGAATCTCCGTCTATTATTAAGTACCTAGAGCCCATGACTGGGGATCAATTTACAGCTCGATACGCTGACTGCATATTCGATGAAACGAATTTTCCGGCATTAGGGGGAGATAAAAGCCCAAATTTAAATAAATGCCGAGAAATTTCTTGGAATGTACAAAATTTACAATATTTAGATCCGCGCACTAATCAAACTGAACTTGAAGTTCAAAAGATAATTAATTTGCAATATTTAGCAAATAATTTGCTACATGCATTCACTGATCATAAAGGAGTGACTAAATCACATGTACCTTCTATAAATGCACCACAACAAGTGGAAGTCCCCAGGAAATATAATATTCCTACAGATGCTCTACGCCAGAAGCGTGGGAGACCCATTGGTACAAAAGATAATAATCCGCGGGAAATAAAATCTAATAAAAATGTTGAATCACTCCCGAAATCTCCAGAAGAGAATAGTCCAGAAGGCGAAAATCCTAGTTTAAATGCACGTGCAACAAATAATAAAAATACTAGGATTGTGGAACATCCTGATCCAAATATATTGGGAAATGATGATGATCTGGTAGATGTAAATATTGAAGTAGCTATGAATTTTGTTGATACAGGAGAAACTTATAACAGAAGTAACAAAGTCGTCGACGACACATTTGCCGCTATAGTTGCTCTTACCATCTCTAATAATCTGGATCCAGAATCTAAAACAATTGCAGAGTGCCGGAAGCGCTCAGATTGGGTAAGATGGAAAGAAGCAATTGAGGTTGAACTAGACTCGCTAAATAAACGAAAATTTTTTAGCTCTATTGTGCGCACACCTCAAAATGTTATCCCAGTAGGATATAGATGGGTGTTTGTACGAAAGAGAAATGAAAATAATGAGATGGTGAGATACAAAGCGAGATTAGTTGCTCAAGGGTTTTGGCAGAGACCCGGTATTGATTATGATCAAACATATTCTCCTGTAATGGATGGAATAACGTTCCGCTATTTAATGTCTCTGGTAGTAAATATGAATTTAGATATGCAGTTAATGGATGTCGTGACCGCATATTTATATGGGTCATTAGACACAAATATATATATATATATATATGAAAATCCCTGAAGGATTAAAAGTTCCCGAAATAAAGGGAAATGAAACACGCAACATGTATAGTGTTAAATTACAAAAGTCATTATATGGCTTAAAACAGTCCGGTAGAATGTGGTATAACCGACTGAGTGAGTTTTTGTTGAAAAATAATTATGTGAATAATGATGTGTGCTCATGTGTCATGTGTATTTATAAAGAAGTCAAAGAATGGTTTTTGTATCATTTCAGTTTATGAAGATGACATAAATATAATTGGCACACAAGAAGAGTTTGATAAAGCTAGCTCATGCCTAAAGACGGAGTTTGAAATGAAAGATTTGAGTAAAACCAAATATTGCCTCGGCCTGCAGATCGAGCATCTTCCTAAAGAAATTTTTGTACATCAGTCAGCCTACTTGGAGAAGGTTTAAGAAAAATTCTACATGGATAAATCTCATCCACTTAGCACACCAATGGTTGTCCGATCCCTTGAAGCGGATAAGGATCCATTTAGACCTAAAAAAGATACCGAAGAAAATTTAGGACCAGAAGTTCCTTACTTAAGCGCTATTGGCGCGTTACTTTATCTTGCAAATTGCACCAGGCCTGATATTGCATTTGCAGTAAACTTGCTAGCAAGGTTTAGTGTTTCTCCTACGAGGAGACATTGGAATGGAATTAAACATATTTTTAGGTATCTTCAAGATTCACAAGATCCCGGTTTACTTTATAAAAATAACCAAGATATGACATTGGTGGGGTATTCAGATGCTGGCTATATGTCTGATCCTCATAATGCCAGATCTCAGACTGGTTATGTTTTTCTCTGTGGTGGTACTGCAATATCTTGGAAGTCGGTCAAACAGTCCATGGTTACTACATCTTCAAATCACTCAGAGATAATTGCTTTATATGAAACTTCAAAAGAATGTGTTTGGTTAAGATCTTTAATCCAACATATTCGTGAATCATGTGGAATTACAAATGATATAACCCCCACTATCCTTTACAAGGACAATGCAGTTTGTGTTTTACAAATGAGTAGTGGATATGTCAAAGGAAACATGACAAAACACATTGCTCCAAAATTCTTTCATCCACACGAGCTTCAGAAGAACAGTGAGATTATTGTACAAAAAGTAAGATCTAGCGAGAATTTGGCAGATCTATTCACCAAATCCCTTCCTACATCTACTTTTGAAAAATACAATTATTGTATTGGAAAGGGACAAACTCAAAATAATCCAGAAGATTAAGTCTTGAAGACAAAATGTTGTACTCTTTTTCCCTTAGCTGAGGTTTTGCCCCATTGGGTTTTCCCAGTAAGGTTTTTAATGAGGCAACAAAGATGTTATATTCACATGAATAGTGTACTCTTTTTCTTTCATTAGGATTTTGTCTCATTGGGTTTTTCCTAATAAAGTCTTAACGAGACATATTCATGGTATAATGAGGATTAATGGATAATTGATATGATTTGGAGTAGTTGTACCCTTTTTCCTTCGATTAAGTTTTTCCCAATGGATTTTCTTGACAAGGTTTTAACGAGGCAACAATAGAATACTCCAATAAAGATAATCTACAATGATCAGGTTTTATCCTAGCTATTTTTACTGACATGTTGAAGCAGCAGTATTTGGTGGTCACAAGATACACTTCAAGATGTTTAGATTATGTTTTATTTAAATAATGATATTTAGAAAATAGTCATTCAAGGGGGAGTATTATAAAATATGTGCATGCACTTCATGAGGTGATTAAAAAATTATATGTGAATGACTATTTTGCCCTTAATGTAATTGTATTATTACAATTGTGCTATTAGAAGTTTTCCTATAAATAGGAGCTTCAGTTATAACGAAAAACCCACCAAAATAATACAGTTTCTTTATTTTTAATTCTCTCTAATTTTATATAATTAATTAATTCACGAGTAATTAATTAATTCACGAGCAACCAAAAAGCAATGTAAAATCGGTCACTAATTCAAAGTTTTGCTGCTTGTGAAAATTCTCCGCCAAATCCACCACGCACAAGCCTACAAAAACAAAGCATTCCTTCCCTCCAAACTCATCGGCGACGAGATCTAACACACAAGGGCAAAAATGGAGGTCAGAGCCAGAGCACCCGGAAAAATCATACTCGCCGGAGAACACGCCGTGGTTCATGGATCCACCGCCGTAGCCGCCGCGATCGATCTCTATACCTACGTCTCTCTTCGCTTCCCCACTCCATCTGGTAATCCGTCGATAAACCCACTCACTCTCCCAAACCCCTCAAATTTTGTGGTATAATTGACACATTGGTTATGTATTATCAGAATATTGATCGTTTAGAGTTGGTTTTAGTATGTTTTGTTTTGATTAGGTTACCGACCTTATTATATAAGATAATGCACGTTGGAGAAATTAACAGTGTGCTGTTTTGACCATCAATCAGGTTCCTGTTAATCTTACTTTATGTCATATAACAATGGATATTGTGTTGTTGTATGCTGCTAGTCTCGGCTGAAAGCCTGACATGGTATCTGAATCGTTAGTTTTATTGCATCTATGCAATGAAACATTAAACTCAAGTGGTTTTCTCATGGTTTACTAAATGACAAGAGCTTCAGCTGAGCTCTTTTGTAGCCGATTTTTGAAATGATGTGAAGTTTGTGAACCTTCATGCATGTATGTGGTACTTAGCCTTGCTATTGGTTTGTGATTGCTTGATTTGTCTTCAGATATGTTATTACGAATCATTTTTATAAGTATTATGTATCTCTGGATAGCTGAATGGTTCAGGAAGAGCATAATTGACTTGGAAGTGATTTTGACGCAAAATTTTATGGATAATTGTGGACAAAATGAATGAGATTAGCTAGCAACTATTGTGAGATGCTGTTCTTATAAAATGAAGCATTATTTTCATTTCTTTTATGGCAATTGTTATCCCAAGAAGAAGACAATTGTCCTTGGATTTATTGTTTATGAATTGTATGGAATATACAAATGTAACTACTTATGACTCAGGTTACAACTCCTGATTCTGTTACCACTAAATCAAGTATGCCCAGGTGACGTTGATCAAGGAGCACCTAGAGGGTGGCTTTTCTTATGAATCTTTGATCAAGACTGTAGTTTCTTTAGAGAATAATGTCAAAAGAATGCATGATTTCAGTGTAATGGTTAACAGCATTTGTTATTCTTACTTGATATGTCAATTTAGCATTGTTAGCCTTTCATAACACGACCCCGTGCTTCTACAATGGTGTTTGCTGCTATGTGCTGTTGATGTCATCATCATCATTGTTATTATTGATTATTACTTGTTGTTAAATATGTCTCTATTTTTCAAATTGTCATCTGTCTCATAGATAATGATGATGCAATAAAGCTTCATCTCAAGGATCTGGCCTTAGAACTTTCCTGGCCAGTTGGGAAAATCATGGAAGTTCTGCCCGATCTAGGCAGCCGTGTTGCGTCCTCTCCCTGTTCATGTTCCCTAGAGACGTCAAAAGCAATTGCTTCTCTACTTGAAGATCAAAATATTCCCGAGGCCAATATTGGAATCGCATCTGGCGTTTCAGCTTTTCTTTGGCTGTACACGTCCATTCATGGGTATATGTCTATAAATCTTATTCATGTTCTGATCACTTCTGATTCAAGAAAATTCTTTTGCTCCACCCATTGAGTTGCATACCCTGATTGAGTTGCATTTTGTAATTTATCAGCAATAAGCCAGCTAAAATTGTTGTGACCTCGGAGCTGCCATTAGGCGCGGGTTTGGGTTCGTCTGCCGCCTTTTGTGTCGCACTTTCTGCCGCACTCCTTGCCCTATCTGATTCTGCAAAATTGGATTTTAGCCATCAAGGTTGGCAGATGTTTGGAGAAAGTGAGTTGGAGCTCGTGAATAAATGGGCTTTTGAAGGTGAAAAGATCATCCATGGGAAGCCATCTGGGATAGACAATACAGTCAGTACCTATGGTATGTAAGCATCCTTCTCTTTTAGTCATTACTCACATCCTTAGACATGCCTCTTAAAATGTGTTCTTAGATTGTTAAACTTCACGAACCCACCCCCAAAAATGTGTTGAATTTTCTTCATTATGATATTTTGGTAAGTATTTAGCAGGTTTGTAATTTAAGAACGTAAATGGGTTGAACAACCATTTCGTGGATTCTGTCAAAGATGGGCACATTATGGCATGGTGGCCTTTAAAGGAAGCATAATTGATTACTAAATTTACATAATAGCTGAAAAGGTTGATCTATGCAATGCCAATTACTAAGGCAGGCATAATTAGGGCACAATGTTGGGGCAATTTATTTGATACTGTTATTTGGCTAATGAACTGTTTTTCTCAGGTAACATGATAAAATTCAGATCTGGTGAACTCACGCGCATCAAGACAAATATGCCCCTTAAAATGCTCATAACTAATACGAAAGTCGGAAGAAATACAAAATCATTGGTAGCCAGCGTGTCCGAAAGGACACTGAGGCATTCAACTGCAATGGCTTCTGTGTTTAATGCTGTTGACTCCATAAGCAATGAGTTAGCTGCCATAATCCAATCACCAGTTTCTGATGATCTTGCAATCACAGAAAAAGAGGAAAAAATTGGAGAACTAATGGCGATGAATCAAGGGCTACTGCAGTGCATGGGGGTCAGCCATGCATCAATCGAGACTGTGATTAGAACTACGCTAAAATATAAACTATCTACTAAACTCACAGGAGCTGGTGGAGGAGGCTGCGTTTTGACGCTACTTCCAACCTGTATCCATTTTGCCTTTACTCCTGTTATTTATTTTTATTTTTATTTTTTTAATCTTACTGGGTATATTATAAAAATCATCATTTTTTGAGACTATTAAAAAGGAACCGTTACCATTCAAAACTTCGAATATCAGACTTCCGTTTTAGTTTGCAACTTGAACTTATGAAGGGCAGTACTTACGAATGGCAAAATCTTATCATGTTATGGTCAAAATCTATGTTCTCTTTCAGTTTATGTTTACATTGGGAAATTGATGTTCTTAACTTTGCGACTCAGTATTATCAGGAACGGTTGTCGATAAAGTTACTGCTGATCTGGATTCGTGTGGGTTCCACTGTTTGATTGCGGGAATTGGTGGAAGAGGCATGGAGATTAGTTTCAGTGGTTTTTCCTAACATGTGGCTCGAAAGTGGCATTCTAAGCGTAAGATCTGGACCAAGTACCTTCAAAACTTATTTTGCAGATGTAAAAGATCCTTTACCCCAACTTTTTAATGCGTGTACGATTATTTTTCACGATATGTTAGTTGAAAGCAACACTTTTATAAGACTTCTCTGCCATCGAGCCTTTTTTTTTCTGCATCAGCTTAAAAAAGATTGAATAATAATAATTTCATCGTTCTTCCAATTGTGCATTGTGGAGTTGAAGTAGCCATCCCAAGTTATAATCCTTACTCCTTAGTGCAGGTTATTAATTTGGTTTTGGTTATGTGGTTCTTGTTGCCGTACGGTTTAGTTATGATTCACATAGCTTCTGGTTGAGATGATAATCCTATCTGCCCATTTTCTAGTCTTTACAGTGTAAATCTAGTGATTTACCATTGCGTGACAAACAATTGTTTTTCGATGAACTTGTTCTATTTTCTTCCACGGATGATAGAAAAAATCATCCAAACATTGTTTCCATCAGATTGTATGTGTTCAGAGGTAAATGCAATACGAAACTGTTGGTATCTAATCTGACAGGCTTTGGATTGGTATTAAAAATAAATATTTTTTATGGAAAATGAAATATAAAAGAACAGCTATATGCTTGGTAGCCATGAGTTCAGACCATATGTGTAACGCCCCAAATCAGTAATAATATTAAGAACGATTTCACTGCTCGACTATAAGTGATCCGTATTTTCAGAAATTTCTGAGTTATATTTTATATGCTAAATGCTCACAAGGATAGATTATTCTTTGGAATATTTCTACATTAAGTACAAGTCAAGATCAATCCATTAATTTGGGTTGTTAAAATTATAGCAAATCGACTCGAGGAATTATCAGCTTTGAACCCTAGTTTGGTTCCGATTATTTTTCAAGTTAATTCTCGAGTCTAGCCAGGTCTTGATATTTTATACTTAGAATAATTTTCTAAGTCTTGGAATATCAAAAAGTAAGCTTGGACATGTAAACCGAGCTTATTCGAGCCGCTCTTGTCCTAGCCTCGTACCCAAGCCCATCTCGCGCCCGATGCCACCCGAGCCTTGTCCTAGGCCATGTTATAGTCTTGGTTCAAGTCTTGGAAATTTTTTCCTAAGTGTTGGGATATTAAGAACAGTCCATATACTCGACCTAAGGCCTTCCCGCGCCAGCCCACACGCGCAGTCGAGCCCAGCATGCACGCCCTCGCGCCCAGGCCCAGTGCCGCGCCCAGCCCAGCGGCAGCGTGCACAGCCCATCTTCTTGAGCCCAAATGATGAAGTTCCGACCCATTTTCACCCAAGACCTCTTCATGCGTGTATTATACACTTAATGAGGATCATTTTGAGTTAATATGGCCCTAACAAAGTGATTAGCAAAGTCATCAAGCATGAGCAATATTTTAATGGTAGTGCATGTGGGCTAATGAATATTTTAATGTCTTGGGAATCCCTTGTCCCCCACCCTCGTGCCAGACCTGACCAGATTCACCTTCTCCCTCATTGTGCTTTGAATACCACCTAGAAGACCACCATAATTCGGACAAAACTACCCTAGACCAACCCTTAATCCATGCGCATGGGAAGTGGAGAGATTCCCACTCATTTTGGTCCTCAACCCTCACACCTTGTGAGCTCCGCCCCTCAGCCTATTTAAGGACTCTCCTCCAGTGCATTTTAAGCTCTTGCTGTTAGTGTTATATACTGAAAGCTTGGCTTTGCATGTTATTACACATTTACCCTTTATGAATGAGAATCATGTTAGATTAAATAAGTTCTACGTTCTGTTGTTCTGCACTTAGATAGGGTGGGTCGTCATCGGGCGAACCGAAGATCACTCTATTAGTTACTTGCGAACAAGAATAGTTGTTCACAACCTAGATGGACATGAACACCCCATCCGCACGGTTGTAGTGTCAACTGTACAGTTTGTCTTGACTGATTAGTTGCACTAGTACATTTATGTATTGAACAGGATCCCAGAGAGGAGAAGTTCATTTTATACTGATCGTCGTAAATGAACTAGGCCTCGGTTAATTACTGCGTTCTCTTAACCCGTAAGATATTAAACAGGCAGATATATATAATATATATTACTTTGATTCACATGGGTGAGGTTCAGTTCGCTGGATTAATATTCCTACTGTTTTGGGTAATATTATTATATATAGGATGTGCTGTTAGGATATTTACGGTCACCATGTGCGTTAGTTTGATGATGTCCCCGGAGTGAGTTCATGAAGGATTGTTATGCTAAACCCTGCAGGTGGATTAAATTCCGGCATAATAAGAATGTGATGAACGAGCGCTAGCTTCGGTGAAATAATAATAAATTAATTAATTCTTGATTGTCAGTAATCGAATTAATTAATGGACATTATATCTTAAACGTGGGGAGGTAAATCGAGTAATTATTATTGGAGTCTCAAATGTAATTTGGGCTAGGGAAAGGGAGTGCAATAATATAATGTTGGTGGCCCATTAATATTATTTAATTAATTAGAGGAGTGGGTTTGGCCCACAGTTAGTCTAATTAATTAAGGAGCCCTTTTCCTAATCTCCTTAGGGTCCCTACTGTAGCTCTATATATACATCATTAAGCTCATGAGAAGAGAATAGAAGTCTCATTCTCACGTGAAACCATCTCTCTCTCTAGATCTCATTCGAGCTTTATCTTCTTCTTGTTGCTCCACTGGTACAAGTTGAAGAAGGGTGTATTGAGTAATACAGTAGAAGATCTGTAGGTAAACCGAGACGAAATATATTTTGACCTACAGAACTAACCGGAAGTCCGATTGAGACGTACAGTATACCCAGACGACCGCCTCGACGAGAGCTTTCCATCGCCGCCAACGTCGCTGGAATCCGACGCCGCACGCGCCCTCACCCGCCGCCGGAAGGTGCCTGACTGCAAAAATTCGTTTTGATCTGTTTGCATCCGTTTGATCCGATTTTGATCTCATCTTGTTCGTGCAACCCAAGACGTGATTTGCGGTCAATCAATTGCGGTCAACCGTTTGTGGTCAACCAGATCTACATAAATTTTAAGCCGTAAGTTCTCTACGTCAAACCTTTAGATCCGCTGCGCATAGGTTTACGTTTGCTATTGAATTCGTGATTTGTACATAACGAGATCCTCACAGATCCCAACACTTGGATCATTAGAAGCTCGAGCAACACTTAGCAAAAATCAAAAAAAGTTTAGGAGGCCTTACCTGCCCATTGCTGCGCGCGTGAAGCCCGGGTACCAGCACCACGCACCTCAGCCATCTCCACTCAAGTTCTCTCGTGGTTTATCACTATCCAAGTGTATCTTGGATTTTTATAAGTCATTTGAGTTCAACAAAGCTCAGCTTTTCCAACTCCAAGTTGAGCCTAGGTCTAAAAGTCGCGCCTAGCCCATTCAAGCCCTAGGTTTCGTTTCTTGCATTTTGGTGAAGGTTAGTCCGATTCAACTTCTTCCCAAAATTATTTTATGATGTTTTAAGATTTTTAATGAAGAAAAATCGAGCCATGCATGTGTTTAAAGTCAAGTTTCTAATTTAATGATTTAATGGCCTTAAAAATGAAATTTTAGTAGCAAGCATGTTAAAAGTCGAGATTTTTAGTTAAATCACCCTTAAATATTATATCTTTGATGATGTTAAAGTTTGAACATAAATGGAGTTCATTACCTTGGTCAAATCATTCATGAGAGTATGCTAACTTAGGCACCCGAGGCTTACCTGTATGCATGCAAGTTATGAACCATGTTCCTAGCCATTTTAGCCATCATTTTTTATGATAATCATTCGACCATAATCATTTTAGCATGTTAAGAATGTTGGTTCGGAGGTTAAGTACTCGTACGTGCAATTTATGCCTTATCGAGTAGCATGCATGTGGACCCGGGGTCCACTAGTGTTTCATAGCATATTTGTGCCTATTTTATCATTCTAAGTTCATATGTCATACATGTCACCGGAGAAAGTCGCCGGAGGTCCGGCAAGGGCCGGCCTTGGTCACTGGCCGCGCACACAGCGCGGCAGTACCCGGCCCCGAGCCAGTCCGTGCCCGCGCCAGCATGCGAGAGGTACCCGCAGCACCAGTGCCCGCGACAGCGTGCCAGCAGTATGATGAGGGATCGCGTGTTCCCGACTCGTGACCTTGCCTCGGATGTTGCGTGAACTCGATCTTCGGGGAGGGTTGCGGACGACTCGGAGGTTATCTCCTTATCTTCTCGCGATAGGTGAGACAGCTCGGACGGATGTCCTTGCCAAACTCGTCTTGCTCGAGCAATGCGGTGGGACGCCCTTCTCGTAACAAGGGTTTTGCACTAAATCTCAAAAGAAATCTAACACAAAAATTTGAACACAAGGTTCGACTTTTTTATTAATTTCTGCATGATATTTTCGAATGACAATGGGGCATATTTATAGATGCCAAACTAAGTCTAGTCCTAGTCTAAGAAGAACTCCTAATGCTTGGAAGTAAATAAAGTCCTAAGGAAACTATATCACTAATTAAAGCAATAAAATATTAAAGTCCTAAGTTCGACCGGCAGTTTGAGTCCGTTTTGATTCGTGACTTCCGGTTCGAGTCTTATTCGGGAATTTTAGTATTTTCCGAGCCAAACTAGTCCAGATTAACTGATCAGATAGATCCGAGCATTTTAGCACATAATTAAGCGTTCCGAGCCTTCATACTTGGCAATTATTTGCTTATATGTTTATGTAGCTTAAGGAGAGTCGAGCCTCCGACAGCTACTACAGTTTCTCGAGCACTTGCCAGATTTTCAGTATTACCAGGTGGGGGCCCTGCACTAGGTATTACATTGCCTATAATCTTGTACCATTTATGAGGTATGTATATAGATAAGTTTTACCCGAACGGTCCAGTTTAACCGTTCGTGGTCCAGTTTATGTTGACTCCCAGTAGAGTCACTCGCCCAGTATAGTTTGACTTCCAGTAGAGTCATCCTGGGTTTCTGGGGAGGCGACCCCCAGAACGTGATCACCTGAGAACCGGTCAGTTACCGGTAGTCCGCACCAGTACAGTACAGTTTTATTTATGTATATGTTGAGTTTATGATATTTGATTATACGTGTTGTATATTCAGTGTTGGTTCTTGCGGAGTACAGTGGATGAGTACTCACCCCCCGCTATTATCTTTTTAGGTGATGGAGTGCAGCCCGGAGCGTGAGCCGAGCTTGGTGGTGTGGTGGTGTCCGAGTCAGCTGGACATTTGTTTATGTTTATGTTATGTTGGCATGTATAAATAATTTCAGACTGTACCGTACTTTATTTTACGCTTCCGTACTTCCAACCCAGACTAGTATGTATGCACGCTTTATTTTTCCCTTATCCGTATTTTCCCCAGTCGGAACTTATATGTTGATTTGGGTATGTGCATAAGTAACAGAAAAAGAGAAGCAAGTCAGTAAATAAGTAGTATCCCGCAAGTTAGTAAGTTT